TGATTGATTTACCTATTGCTAACCACCATTTAAAAAAATTCTGAAATTTTGGACTTCCAGGCTTATAGGATCCTGTGCTCTGTAGCTGTGAAGCTGTTAGCTCCTGAGGACTCTGTGCTTTTGGGTAGTGTGACTGTGGGCAGCCTGGTTCTGTATGAATGCAAAAGCCTAAGTATTTTTGGGCAGATTGCTTTAAAAGCTCTAGTTTTAGCTCTCCAAAACCTCTTTTTTTTTTTTTTTTTTTTGCCTTCATTTTCATCCTTTCCATTACATATGCTTTGCTTCAGTACTCCAGGAAATATTTTGAGTATCTAGCCTGTTTTACAACTTGATTTGTTTATGTAAATACAGATTCATTCATAGGTAGAGGTGGCACTAGGACAAGTTAAATCATGCATATGATCAGTAGAAAGGTGCCTGTGTTTTGTTGCACACCAACCCAGATGCTGAACATCCTTGAAATCCTGCAGGACTGTCATGTATGTGACCCTGGCATGGGCAATAGCCATAATGGTTGGAAGTGTTGCTGTGGGGAATGGACTGCAGAGTCCACACATGCTAATGAACACATTAGRAAAAAATGGTTGTTGGCTAATTGGCTAATGGTTATTGATTAATCTTAAAAAATTGTTGATGGAGACAAAAAGCATGTCTTCACTCATACTTCACATAGTGCAAGTGGATGTATGTCTATTACTGACACTCTTTTCTCATTTGTGGCATATACAGTTCTATACATATACAGCTTTAGAATGTATATTTATACACATTTTCTCATTAACTTATTTTCAGAGGTTCTCTTTACCTGTAGCATGGCGAAAGCATGTAAGTTTTATGTGGTTTCTTTAGATCTTAAAAGAAAAACATCACTATCAGCAGATAAAATGCTTGTATCCTGATAGATAAAGGCATTACAGAATTTAAGTAAAGAAATGAATATTCTATTTATTGTTGAAAATCTAAATGTATTAAGGATTTTATTCTTCTTTATATAACTTTTATCCTATTGTCACAAGGGCTTTGGTCAGCCTATAAAATCTTCAATCCCTCTAATTTCTTTAAGGATCTCTTTGTACATGTCAGTGTTGTTTAACACCATTCTACTATACTAATGTGTTGATGTGTGTAGAAATGCTTAACGTAATGTTTTAGGGTTTTTTTGTCGATTTAAATCTTATTTAAACAGCTGTTTTCAACTTGTCTAAGATGGATGAAAATTTCTTATGTGAATGCATATGTCTTTCTCCAAAGTAAATGCAAAAACATCCAAATGAAAATTTAAAATAGCAAATGAGGAGATTTTACTGGTATTGCTTTGAACAAGATGTCTGGTAATATAAAAGAGAAATAACAGAGAAAAAGCAGATATGGCACTGAAGTCTGACACAATCAGGGGAAGTACCTAAGGAGGAAAGAAAAAAAAAAAAAAGCATTAAATAATGGTTGATTCTGGAAGAGGTGACTGATAAAGGCTCTGAACTGTGAAGCAGATGAAAGAGTATAGAACAATACCTGACTCCACAATCTTCTTCTCTTCTTACCAAAATAACCTCCCAGATCCTGGATTTTGGCAGGTCACCTAGACCTTGTTAATGCTTACAAAGCCTGAGGTAATGCTACTTTTTGAATGAAAATTAACAGACCTTAAGGCTGGAAGGGCCTTAAGAAATGATATCATACATATTCACTTTAAAAGCTTGTCATCTGTAAGGCAGATTTTCCTGATATTCACCACACCAACAGAACAGTTTCAGAAGAGTTTACATGACCAYTCCTGATGCTTGATGCTGAAATGCTTGTATGAGCATTTCAGATATGCTGTATCCTGGTGACGGGGTGGCTGCCTGCTCCAGTCATTTTATCATATTCTAGGGTAGGTCCTACAAGCTATTGGAAATGTCCTGGCCAAAAGCCTGGCATATGCTTTTCTAAAAGCTCTCAATATATATTTCACAGACTCTTCAGCAACCTACCCATTTCTCCCCTTGTGTCAGAGTTTCTTAATGCCAAACTGGCTTGGTCTGTTTGCTCAGGCTGAGAGGAGCCTGTGGTTGGGCAGTGAGCCCATGCCTCTGAAGGACTTTTAACCTGAAGTCCTTTCTGAGCTTCAGGCCTGCAGATCATGAAACTTGGTGCTAATCCTCTGCTTTTGTGGGGCCAAAGGAAACTGGGCCCGGGGGGGGGGGGGAACAGGAAAAACCGAATTCTTTTAAAAGGTCTTTGCCCTTAGCTGGGGCCTTATTACTCACGATCTTTTGTGGAAATCTAACTAAAGTGTAGCTCAAAGCATCTAGATTTGAAAGCTTTAACATTATTAGAAAGAGGTAAGAGTTTTCAGAGGCAGTTTGCATGCATAGTTAGGCAGGTTGTTTGTCAGCAGCTGCAGGTCATGAAAATTGCCTGTTAGCATTTTCGGTTGCTCCTTCATGGATGAGTGCAGCTCTAGCTGAGCCCTTGTTGCTGTGCTCTGAGCTCTTCTGGAAGCAGGAAAACTGCATTAGACTTGAGGAAAAAAAATAAAAAAGCAAAAAAAAAAAAAAAATTAAAAGCTTTTGTGCAAGTCAAATTAACTTGTATACAGTGCTGAATATCTAGGGTAACCTTAATGGTCTGTGGTTGCAGCATGTTTTATATGGATTTCATGGATAATGAACAATTTGCTTTGCTTGTACTTACTTTTGAAAAAAAATGCCCTGAGATTTTAACAATTTTGATTATAAGTCTGCATTCTGACACATTTTCATCTTCAAAGTGTTGCTCTGCAGTTTTTTGGTTTTTTTTTTTTTCTGTAGGTACAACTGACATTAGCATTTAGTTCCTGATACATTTTTACTGCATTTCATCACCTTGATTCTCCAGTTTTAGCAAGACTATTTGGCATTCTACTTAAGTGCTCCAGAGTACTAATAATTCCTACACTGCTGTGGACATAGATTTATCAGTAAGTCTTTTGTTCCTTTAGCCAAAGAATTAATTAAAATGTTAAATTGACCTGGACAAAAAACAGATGTCATTTATTTTGTAGATAAACACTTGTAGAAGGAGTGAGTGCCTATAAATGTGGACCAATATATTCAGTTATGTTATGCTTATTATTTGAAAAGTATARGTATCTTATAATAATATAAAAAAATCTAAGTGTTGCTGTTTCACAAAATTCTGAGCATTGAAACTTACTGGGGAGGAAAGTGAGTGGCAGTATTGTTCAYATTTTTCAGAAATGCTACCATCTTGTGGTACTTGAGATGACCAAGTTAGCACTGTTAAAGGTGACTCCTTACCTGAACAGTGTATAGTTATACACAGTCTCTATGTGCCTCCTAAGAGGAAATTTCAAGGTACTTTTGCGAATCCTTAACACTGCTTTTGGATTTCAGTAGATTATACTTTAGTTTGTGAAATGAAATTCCTTTTAAATGTTTTACAGCAAGTTGTTATAAATTATTAGTGAGTGTAATAGTATAATAAAAATGATAATAATATAATAAAATGCCAATTTATTGGCATATGAAACATGTATTGCTGAAACCAAATGCTGTTGTGAGGAATTATATGCAAAGCAGAAGAAAAAGATGGTCTTTGCTGTGCAGAGCTAACAATTTATGACTTCTTTCTGTCATGATTATATGAATATAAAGACTTGTTCGCTTTGCAATACCTATTGATTTTAAAATTGAAGTAAAGTGCTTTGAACTCACGTGACACTTTACCTTTTAAGTGTTTCCTTCCACTATTAAGCCAGCAGATATTATGCCAATATCTGTCAACATTATCATCTCATTACTGGAAGGATATATTTCTTTTTCATTAAAGAACATAAATTAGCAATTTGTTTTACTAACATTGTTTATATTTGGTTTTATCGATTGCAATGTCTATAAAATGAAGCCATTTGAAACATTAGAGCTAAATATAATTTATATTCAATATAAAAGTATTAAGCTGATAATTTGCTTCACTTCATTTAATGTGCAACATACTGTACTGAATGCAGTATGCTATATCAAATTTAGCATTTATCATCTGATTGCATTATTATATCTACAAAATTGCAGCATCCTACATTACAAACATTATTATGTTTTCTGTAGATCTTGAAATATTCTTTTGGAGATTAGTAAATCATGATAGCAAGTTTAGAAATCTTTAAAAATAATATAACATTTTATTATTATTTTAAAAATAAGACTATAAATAATAGTGTTGAGTGTCTCTGTAAAATATTTCTTTGATATATTGTATGAATGCTTTTGGTGATATTTTGAGTGTCTGCGAAGATTAATCTYTATTAAGATAAATGTAAATTATATGTAAATCCTTTTTGAGTTGGCAGATGCATAAGTGAATAAGCTATTGACTTTATATTGTGCATCATGGGGAGAATTATTATCTCGTGTTCTTCATTAATTTTTCTGAAGAGCAAATGTAGAGGATAAAATGATCAGAAGGGAGAAAGTATTTTAGTGCTGTATGTTTATTTCCCATAATAATCTGACATTACAAAATGCTGTGATTAAATATATATAATATAATTAATAAACTTTGAACAGAAGTATGCATGTACAGCTAGTGCGTATTTGCTTATGTTTTTGATTACCTGTTCTGTATTTTATAAAGTTCTGTGACTTGTTTCATCTAAAATTTTATTACAAATATCTGCATTCTTGAAGCAAAACCAGTATTAAAATCTAATCTAGAACCCACATATTCAAGTTAGGCTGTAGGTGGCTTAAACAAAAATAATAGGTTGAATCACTGAGAAATAAAAGATACAAATTTGTATGTGAGAGCAAAGGAAGTAATTTGAACAGATAGAGTACACCAACATGCATAACAATTCTGGCTCTGTCTTATCATGAAATAACTTGTCACAATGAGAATAATTTGATTATTTTATGGTTTAACAACAAATACAGTATATTAACTTCCACTGAATTAGGAATAGAAGTTTATTTAAAATATATTCTCTGTGTTCTAGAACTTTTTTTTATTTGTGTACTCTATAAACGTATTTCACCAGATATCACCTCCTTGTATATCTCTTTTGTTAAAAGAATATAGGAACGTGCAGATTCATGCAGGAAATACAGAGGGTCAGGTATAACTTCTGGATTAAATCCTTCATTCACCAGATGCATTTTCTGATGCTTGAAAGTTGTAGTAGTTTGCATAACATCCTAAAAAAAGAAATAATTTAGGTAAAGTACAGTATTCCATTTCTGTCTACGTCAGGGAAAAAATAGGACAGTTACTGAAGAACATGGATCATAGAGCTTTGCTATAAATGGCTTGAGTTAGAAAGACTGATTGATTCACAGACACAATGAAACCTAAATCTAAAGGTATTCTTTTTTATTTTCTCCTCTGCATCCAATCCAAATTGACCAGTTTATGTTTTAAAAGAGCATTGTAAAAAATTTCATTAATGCAACTGATCACAAAATCTGTAGTTTATGGAACATTTCTTGGTGATTTGCAAAGAGTTGGTTGATTTTATGGTGCTGACTCTCCTCCATTTTCCAGCTGCTAAATTTCATTGAAGACACCAAATAAAAATATATTAAATATGCCTCTGTGTTATTAACTGATGTGCAAGAAGTTTCTGTAGTTGCTATACAAAAATCATACAATTGCTACTTCATGAACAAATTGGTCTGCACATGATAGCGTATGAGAGCAATATAGAAACCAGCCTATTAAAATATATCTCTCATTTCTGAAAAAATTAAAAAGCCTTGTTTTTAAGCAATTTGCTTGTCTGTTTTCAATGTAGCCAAATTTTTCTATTATTCTTCAAACTAAACAGGTAACTCTTCAGTTCCCCAGTTTCTTTTTTATTTTKTTTCTCATATAATAATACAATTAGTTTCCTCTTGCCCTGGTCACTGTATATGTGCTGGTCTCATTTAGTCTTTTGCTTCTAAGCAGAGGTTGATAATAAGCTTGCCAGTCATTTTGGCAGTGCTTTTGATAGAAACCACGCTTAGACCACCAAGACATTTCACAAAACCTCTGAATAGCTACCAGATGGTAATAAGATTCAGTCATTAGCAACTGGGCTCACTTCAAAATGAATAGCCAACATCAAACTTCTGTGGTAATTATTTAAAAAGTTGCAGTCATTAAGATGAAAGTTTAGTAAAATTAGGTATTAAATATTTTTCAAATGTGTCTTGTGAGGAGATACTGTTGAGATTTTCTGTTGAAATCCTCCACTGATGCTATTTGTATATCTGTATGAAGTCAGAATTTTATGCAGACAAATACTGTTGGGGTGGACAGAACAGGAAAAAAAAAAGCTGGAATAATTCCCAGGATGTTCTCAGAAACATCTTTGTAATTTCTTTCTGCAGGTATAAAATGGAGTAAATCTGAGGAAAAAGTTACTGCTTCTGAGTACCTATTTCCCACATGGTTGTCTCTGGGCCTTCTCTTTGCATTCAGAGTCATTCACAGAGCTTGAGAAAAACAGTTAACTCACTTTTTCACTCAATTTTTCACAAAATTCACCATGGCTGCAAGCCAAATTAGAAAAAGCCTGCCTATGGACAGCTGAAAAATTTCAGGTTTTATCTGAAATCAAATCAATTTTTGCAATAGACTTTCATGTTTTTATTTGACAGTCATCATTAAGATGAGCTAATTCTTTTTTCTTTATTTTTTTTTCTAGAAGAGGAACTATGTTTTCTGACTTGTCTCACCCTGAAAATTTTCATTCTCTTTTTATAAATTTTCAATTACTTTCCACTAGGATGCTTTTTAAAATCATAAATTTTTTCATCTTTAATTTTAATATAAAATCAGTTTTGTGATTTAATAATATTTTATGTATATTTAGCTATCCATGAACTGTTCCTGGCAATCTCTTAATTTTCAACAGCATCAAAGATGACTTAGCTAGTTAGCTTCCTTTAATTAGCTGAAAACTTATCAGAGAACATACAAATTGAACTAAGTTCGAACATTCTGCTATATATAAGCAGTGGAGGTTTATTTTTYCCCTGTGTCTGATAAACGTGTAGAGACAAATCTGGGCCAAATGTTCTTTTCTCCAGGAGAGGGCGCTGCTGTCCTTAGACACCATCATATTTTTAAAATACAAAATACAGTAACCTCTATTAGTTGAAAAATAGCCTTACTTGATTCTTAAAGTTCTTTTAATACTCTTATTTCCCTCTAAAATTCTCCATTACCTCTTAAAATAAATAAACAACAATAGTATTCACTTTCTCTTTCTGTGTTATATTGTCTGATTCTTTGTTGCTCCATGCTTTTTTCAGTCCAGCTGCTGCCCTATAGACACAACTTCTGTGTTAAGGAAGTCACAGATTTGTCAAAAAATTCATTGCAGAAAACTCTCTGATGTGAGTTTTCAGATAAAACAAAAGGTTCTTTCCTTCTCTTTGCAGTTCATATTCCTTTGTCCTGATGTCCAAGTTCACACTGTGGGGAGCATTCAAAGGATGTAGCCTTTGCAGTTCTAAATGATAAAAATTGTATTCCAGATCTGCTTTTATGCCCTAGCATGTATGGGTTCATTCTGGTTCTTAGATTATGAAATCCTCGCTGTAAAGTATTTGGTTTTTGTGTTATTTTTTGCAAAGTACAAGATATTTCTTTGATGTTTAACAGTAATTATGAATAATAATCACCTCTACATCAAACATGTTAGGAAAAGATTTTAGATGGACTGAACCATCCTTTTATAAGAGGACATTGTTGTATGGGAGAATGGCCCCAGCTATTCTCGGTGATGGCCAGTGACAAAACAGGCCATTGTAYGTAATGGGTACAAGTTACAGAATCACAGAATCACAGAATATTCAAGGTTGTAAGGGACCTCTACAGATCATCTAGTCCAACCTTCCCGCCCAAGCAGGCACACCTACAGCATGTGGCACAGGGTGGCATCCAGGTGGGTTTTGAAGACCTCCAGAGAAGGAGACTCCACAACCTCCCTGGGCAGCCTGTTCCACTGCTCTGTCACCCTCACAATAAAGAAGTTCCTCCTCACCTGGAGACGGAACTTCCTGTGCTCCAGCTTRTGGCCATTACCCCTTGTCCTGTCTCTAGCCACCAGTGAAAACAGCCTGTCCCCTTCCTCCCTGCATTCTCCCTTCCTGAACTTATACACATTAATCAGATCCCCTCTGAGCCTTCTCTTCTCCAGAGAAAACAGGCCCAGCTCACTCAGTCACTCCTCGTACGAGAGATGTTCCATTCCCTTAATCATTCTGGTTGCCCTTCTCTGGACCCTCTCKAGAAGCTCCATGTCCCTCTTGTCCTGGGGAGCCCAGAACTGCACACAGTACTCCAGGTGCGGCCTCCCCAGAGCTGAGCAGAGGGGCAGAATCACCTCCCTTGACCTGCTGCCAACATCCTCCTGATGCAGCCAGGATCCCATTGGCCTTCTTGGCCACGAGGGCACACTGCTCACTCATGGTTAACTTAGYGTCAACCAGGACTCCCAGGTGGACCAGGACTCCACTCCGTGGAGCTTCTCTCCAGCAGGTCGACCCCTAATCTGTCCTGGTGCCTGGGGTTATTCCTSYCCAGGTGCAGGACCCTGCACTTGTCCTTGTTGAACCTCATGAGGTTCCTCTCTGCCCAACTCTCCAGCCTGTCCAGGTGCCTCTGGATGGCAGCACAGCCCTCCRGAGTGTCGGCCACTCCACCCAGCTTGGTGTCATCTGCAAACTTGCTCAGGGTGCACTCCGTGCCCTCGTCAAGTTGAAACATGGGAAGTTCCATCCGCATGTGAGATGACAGATACTGTCTTGTGAGGGTGCCAGAGCCCTGGCACAGGCTGCCCAGGGAGGCTGTGGAGTCTCCTTCTCTGGAGATCTTCCAAACCCGCCTGGATGTCGCCCTGTGCCCCGTGCTCTGGGTGTCCCTGCTGGAGCAGGGACTATATGAGCTCTAGAGGTCCCTTCCAACCTCAACCAGTCTGTGATTCTGTGATTCTGTAATATCACTCATGCTTCTACTCTGTTTTACAATCGCTAGAATAAGCTACTTAAAGATAATGAGTATTAAAGGAAAATATGACAAGACAAAAACTACATACGAATAGAAAAAAAAATGTTTTTCTTACCATGATTCTCACAAAATATGGTCGGGCATAACTTGGAAGGAAGTCCACAACGTGCTTGTAAAGTCTTTCTCCATCAAAATCTTGGTCAGGTCTAAGCACAATAGCTGCCATCCCTATTCTTCCTTCATAATCTGAAAAAGCATTGAAAACACTATCACATATCTGTATCTACGTATATCTACGTAGATCTACATCTAACATATAGTTATCTACATCTTATGAAAGGGGTAACTTTATCACCTTTGAAGTGGTTTAATATTGGTTAGTGCAAAGGTTTTGAACCTGGTTTGCTGCAGTTTCTTCTTAGAAAGCATTCAATAGAAGATACAAAATAGTTTATGTTGGGAGGTTTAAGTTACTTGCAAAGTTMCTACTCAATGAAAAAGTGTCAGCAATGTGTTCTTATTAGGAAGTATGTAGCACTGAACCTGTTTTCTGAGTTTCCTTCCTAGGCAAGGATGATCCTATTATCCAGGACTTGGGTTTTGACGGTGTGTGTTATTCTTTGCCCTGAGGGTCCAGACAGATGCAGCCATTCCATTCAGGAGAGCTTGTCAGCTGTACTCAGTGATGAGAACGGGAGGTGCTGTCCGAGTGAGATACAGGTTTATTTGTGTCGACTTGAAGGAGGATGTCATCTCTGCAAATGAGTGAACTGGAATACCATTTCTCTACCTGGCCACCTACTGGCCAGCTGTTCAGATTTATCCTTTTTATTCACTTTTCATGAATCTTGTTCATTTTTAAACCCACTTGATCTCCCTCAATGCTAAGTAATGGCTTATATCTTTCTGACTGCTTCTTTAAGTCTGTTTTCTTTCAGTGTTAAGCTTTGTTTGCCGTCACTCATAGGAAGCACAGAACAGCTCTTCAGTGGCATGAGAAARTTTGCCATCCACAGATTGTTCATGGAGAAGATGCCTCTTCTTGAGTTCTTTTCCCCTTCAGCTCGTAACTCAGTTTGCTACCGTTTTTCAGCTTGATATTGCACTTTTATTTATAGAGCTACGTMTGCCTTTGGGAACATTCCAATTGCAAAAAAATACATGTCTTCCAGGGCTATGCTTATAAGATGGTGACAGGTATTTTCACACATCGTGTATTAGTATGGTCCCTGTTTTAGCATGGTCCCTGTTTTAGCATTTTTCAGATGAAAGGCTCTAGCAGAAGGTTTCTGTTGTTTATAATCTTGTAATTCTCATGTCTGTGTTATTGATTCAGTTGCATTTTATAGAAATAGAAATGAGTTGGAAATTTAATTATTACTTTGATTTAATAAGTGAAACAAATAAGAAGGTTCTTACTTTCTATGCTTACTCCATAAACATTAGCTTCTTGAACAAAATCTATCATCCCAATGACCTCAGAGACTTCTAGAGTAGCAACATTTTCTCCTTTCCATCTGTTGAAAATATTTTTTTAAAAACATATATATTAGCTAACAATTTTTTTATTTCATACACTGTTCTAGGTGATGAACACTTTTTAATGTGGATTACTGGTAACAGAAAAGTTAAAGACAGATAAAAGTAGTTCTGATTTAGTGCCATCTCATTTTAAACACTAGCCTTATAAGAAAAGAAAATGCCATTGACTGAAATTTTATAAACTGTCCACTATAACTATTCATTTTGTCTAAACCTTAGGATGAAATCCTTAATGGTTTTGTTAAAACCAAAAAATTTCCTCAATTCATGTACATCAATTTCATGTCTGAGCTTTGCTATCCACTCCTGTAAATGTGTGATTTATACTGAGGAAAAATGATCCTATTAGATCTCCTATATCTGTCTGTATCTCACCTGAAAGTATCTCCCACCCGGTCACTGAAGTAAAGGAAGCCACTATGGTCCATCACCAGGAGATCTCCTGTGTCAAAGTACACATCTCCCTTCACAAACACATCATGCAGGAGTTTCTTCTCTGTTAATTCTTTATTTCCAGCATATCCAAAAAACGGGGTGTCCTGTGTCACCTTGTTAACCATAAGGCCAGGTTCACCTACAGGCCATGAAAAGAAAATGGAAAAAATGTATTTGAGATKAACTCATTAGAGCATTAGGTATCATACTGAAAATTTGCAAGTCAGATTGTCATTGTTATCTTACTGCTACATCTCTGTAACTATTGCCTGAGCAACAGAAAAAGGTGAGTGGAAGAGAGAACATAATACTGTTTCCTTCTCTCCTGAAAAGCTAGACCTCAAGGGACATCTTTGTTGGCCCAGTGCCTCCCAGCCCACTTACTATGAATGAAATCTCTATAAGATATTTAAGACTTTTTTTCCATGCTTGCACTTGCTTGTCCTCTGCTTGTACTTGAATGGTTTGTTTTTTGTCCCTCATATCAAGTGCAGGATTGCCTGTTTCTACCTGTTTGGCTCTTTCAGAAGGTTTAAGCTTCTGTGTCTGAAAGTCTTTTCACCTGACAGTRCTTGTCCTTCATTCTGGAGTACAGGGAAATAAAACTGAAATTGGTTTCRTTTTGTTTTTTTCTCAAGAATCCATATATTATTCACAGCCTGAGCAAAATCTTTTTCTCACAAGGAGTGTTTGCCAAAGGAAAGGATGAATTTTGTCTTCTGAATAGGATGATGGTAGTTAAAAAAAAATGCATGGGAGTAAAACACAGTGTCTGACTTCCTCTGCTTAATACTTGCTGAATGACAGGCTTTTTGCTGCACTTAAGTACCATATCAGTAAAGGGATCCAGTAAAACACTGGATTCTATGATGAAAATTCAATGGTGTGCCTGTTCCACAGAACATCCTCGAGGTCCCAGAGTCTGTAGTATTTTCATACTCAGCAGTGCTCATTACAATTCCCATTTGTATGAAGAGCAAAAATCCCATTGATTTCACTTTAATCAGCCCAGACCTTGCAAATGCATTTTTATTGTTCTATATCTATGATAGATACTGGCTGATTTCCTACTCTGCTTCTGATGTTAAAAGATATTTCCAGCTTCCAAACATTTTATTATTTTTTCTTCAAGAGATTTATGAAGATTTTTTTAAACAAATAATTTTCTTCATAGCTGCATAGCTGTCCTTACATGAAACCCTCTTTTTTTTGTTTTGAACTCTAGATGTGGAAAGTATGCAAGCTCGTATCACAGCTTAGATGAACTCACACACTTGACATAAGGTGTAGGCTTTATAATAAAAGAATAAAACCATCTAAATATGTTGAGTTGCCAAATGTTCCACCCCTTTTTACACGATAATGATCTTTGTATCATGTTTGCATGGTAATGATCTCAGTTTGGGAATTTGCAGTCGTTTCTGTTGCACTTTGCACTGAGTGAAGACTTTATTTAAAAAATACACATAAAAATAAAAAAAAAAAACTTGCACAGTTCATTTTAGTCGTGTCATGAAACCCCTTTCATTATGGAAGCTAGAATTTCTGTCTTTTGATGTGGACAGAAGACAGTCAACAGAAGACTGAAGAATCTAGCCTTTTTGTATTTATAATTATAAATATTATAATATTTAAATCATAGCTTGATTTAAATATTATCAGAAAATAATGAATTATCAGAAATAATTCATAAAAATTATCACTTTGATTACGAATAAACCTGCTTCTGTTTCTTTGAGATCTGATATGGAAATACTATTTAGTACAGCTGTTCAGGTAATCTTATTTGACTTCTGGAACTTTATTCTGATTATGTTTAAATCTGTTTTACCAAAGCTAATGATGCTGAAGTTTTTTCCTAGAATAGTTGACTTGGTATCACAGAGATGCATGTACACATGCACACATGTACACATGCACACACATAGATAAAAAATCTGTGGACATCTAGTCTCAAAATACAATATTACCTGGCAGTTTTTAGTCCATTTTATTTGGAAAAAAAAACTAGAAACACTCGGATATTTGATTTATGTAAGAAGGTGTAGGTGGGCAGGAGCAAAATCATTCCGAATCTTGAGTATAATTTGTATTCTCACATTATTTTGTTATTTGTACCTGTTGATAGATCCTTTGCTCTGTATCTATTAATATTTTCCTAAATAATTTTCAGTTTCTAATTACATGTCAAGAAGCATAATGCTTTTTACTACATGCACACAGCAGATAGTCCCTACCCTAAATTATTGCTATGTATGCTGTGTTACTTGTCAATAGATAACTGATAATTTTCCTTACCTATTGGTGCTTTCTTATAATTTCCATRTTCATCCTTCATAAGTTCCTGTTTCCAGACATCATATTTCAACAATTCAAAGGAATATAGGAACTAAATAAAAGAATGCATATAAATACTTTAAAAAGACACAGTCTTACTCAGTTTCAAGCAGATCTGCTTAAAAGTACTTTAATGAATAATCCTCTATTAACTTTGAATGTTTAGGAACAGCTTGGAATATACTAATAATATTACTGAGAAAAATTGGATGTTAGAAAACATTCATGCTGTGGTAAACAACATTCAATATACAGATGAAATTGCCTCATTTCTTCACAAAGACAACAGAAAAATCCACTGTTTTATAGTACACTGTGATTCAGTTATTTATGTAAAATGAAATAGGACAGCACTTTGGATCAAAATGTTGATTTTTGTTAAAAACTACCATTCTCATCTTAGGAATCATGTAGCATTACTGGAATRCAAATCGAGAAGATCCTCTGAAAAAAATCCATATTAAATTTACAGATATCTCAAAAATTACTTCAGTGAAATCAAAATGGAAACTTACAGCACAATGGTTTGATTTAAGTCTTTCCTGCCTTCATCCCTATCCACATAGTTAAGAWTGCTAGAAGATCAAAAGCATTGTGGAGTTATTATTAGGGCCATGGGAAGGCATTCTCGGCATCTCAGATTAAAAGCAGCAATCATTTGGAAATCATTAACCTCGTTTTAATGTTAGCTGATCTGAATGTTCAGCAACATTTGAAGAGCATTTTATTGTAGTTTAATTTTCATGATTCAAAATGAGTCCATACACATAGGAAAAACATTTGGACCTGTCAGGGCATTTTTATGAGTAGAAGATTTGTATCTCAAAGGAGAATTTCAACAATACTCACGAATCTGAAATCTGTACTTCAGATTTTTTGAGCCTGATATTTATCTTAGGTGATGAGGTTTTGTTAGTCTAGCTCGTGTGTATATCTAATTTTGGAGAAGGTGTGGTGCTAATTTTAATGAACCAAGATGTAATCAAACAGTAAATTTATGTGAGAGTTTTCTCTAAAATGTGTATTTCCAAATGTATACCAAAAGTCACATAAAAACTGTTTTCTACTTCATCACTTAATAGATAATATTTGGTTTAATGATAAATAAACTTCAATGWAAGTCACATTTAATAGATCCTATGTATAGTTGCTTTTATGCCATGGGGTAATTTCAATGTGTTCTGAGAGAAAATCTCTCATACAAATGCTGTAGTTTTAGTTGTTATAGGCTTCTGTATTCTTTAGCTTACAATACATGAACAGAAAATAGGGTCAATGGAGAGTTAAAAATTAAGATTTTAGTTTCCATGGAAAACAGACTCCTTAGGTAAAACCTGTACATTTTGTTTGTCCTTATAATTTCCTATATATTTATTTGTTTGACCTGCTTGTTTGCAGAAAGGAGAAGGGCTCGAGAGAGTTGAGGGGAGAGTTGCTTGACTTGTTTACACTTACCTTTGAGAAAGGGCCAGTACGGGCCACAGCTCCTATTTTATTTGTATAGTTTAAGAAGAAAGAATTTCCTTCTGTGGCTCCATAGAATTCAAATATTTTAATTGATCCAAACCTCCTCAGGAATTCTTTCCAGATGGCAGGTCTCATGCCATTTCCTAGGGCCAGACGCACTTGGTGAACTCTGTCCTCCTCTTTCTGTGAACAGGCAAAAATAAATACATCGCAGTGGAGATAATGGGTCTGAATATATAGAATTGATTTAAAATTTCCTAATAGAAAAAATTTTCTTTAAAAAATACAACTTGATGAACATACCCTCAAGAAGCTATTGGTTTTATAAAAAGCAATCAGAAAATTACCAAAATTCTTGTATAAGATTGAAAGGATTTCTTAATATGTGAATTGTTTTTCTTTATTCCTATAGTTCTCTATGGCATTTTCACTTACAAATGCCATCAGACAAATTATATTATCTATTACAAAGTTTAAAAGTTTTTTTTTTGAAAGGTAAATAAATATACTGTAAATAGTGCCATTTCCCACTGAGTGGAAATTTCTTTCCAAACCAGTCAGGTAAGTAACATACTCTCTTAGAAAACACTTGTGACCGCTTATATTCAGCTCTGCATGTGATGAAGTCAAAATTCAACACAGTTGCTATCAGACCTATAGTCAAATCTCCTCAGTACACACCAGCTATTATGATATCACTCAGTACACATCACTATTATGATATGACTCAGGTGCTTATTTAACCAAATAATTTCATCACAGGACCAGACTGCCCAGCACCCTTCACATTAAAGCCCCAGGTAAGAAGTAGAGTCAAGAGTCTGACTGCGGAGAAAACACAGCTTTTCTGGAGAGGTAGAACTGATTAAGTTGTCTCCATGACTGAACAATAGCAAAGTGAAAATCCATTTTTTTTTTCAGGTCTAGAAAAATGGTCTCTTCAAGATCAAACACAGCATTTTGTTTCTTTTATGGTGTGATTATGAATTTTGTAACATATGTGATACAATTGTTTTCTACATAAAATRAAAGTGATTTCTAAATGGAAAGTTGAAAGAATTAACCTAAGAAGAATCTTATCCAAATATTTTAATAGAATCAGTATTTTCACTTTTTATCAACAAAATTTTATGTGAGCTCACTCTGACAGGGTCAGACAATTTTGTTTGATCCAGGACTGCACTTTTGACAGACAAATTCGACATGCTTTGCTTCAGTAAGTTCAGCTGTAATGCAGGCTAACCTTCACTTGCTAAAACCAGGAATGAAGACTTCCCTTCTTCTGCATAATCACTCCTGTTTTCTCCTGCTGTTGCGATAATTAATCCCAAAGGCATGGTTGCATGGCACATGTCAATATGATCAAATCCAAACATGGTGGGCAGGCTGGGGTTGTTGCTTCATACCTCATATTGTCTCACTTCTGCTTTTTAAGACTTCAAGATGAAGCAATGTTTCTTTTTTAAAAGTAGATTATAGGTCTGTAGAGCTTGATGAGAATAAATTTCAGGAGCTCAAGGGATTGTATAAAGCTAGGAAAACTATTATAATTACCTTGCCCACTACCTGATAGAATTTGTAAGACTTCCCTGCATTACTCTGAATTTTGAATTACCTTCTTTTTAAAACTAATGTGGTTCTCTGTAAAAATATTTCTCAGTATATATTCCGTTTTTTATAGCCCCTATGGAGTACTGTATTTCATATTTATTAGTTCTGACAGGAACACAGATGCTGTTGTGGAGATATGTGCTAGGTTTTTATAGTCTATATCTATGTTAGGAAACCCAGAGGTCTTCACTATTCCCAAATCCATATTCTTACCCAATTTCATGCTCTATGAAAGGAAGCACAGCTTGTTGCCCCAAATGTGAGCTAGAGCTTACTCCAACAGTTCTTCATCTAGGTGGCCCTGATCTGAGGAACATTGGGACTGAGCTGTGCTATGGCAAACCATAGCAGCAGAAAATAGCTGAAATGTTCCTGCCTGGTTTATTTCCCTGCACTTGTCTCAATGTAGAAGAATCTTCATGACACACTATAGATCTTACACATTATGGATCAGTATAACATTTAATCCTCTTGATAGAACTCTGCCTTTACATTGATCTACTTCTATTTGCATCCTCAAAACTCTTGAACTTAAGCAGACCAACTTTCTTTTCCCCTCTCTATTTACTGGTTGCTAGTTAAATATCAATATTCTCCCTGTTAAATTCCAGTCTTTGAGCCAAGTAAAGAAAGTCCTTCCTGCCTTTTCCTGGAGGAGAGACCTTTGTATAAGTATTTTAACCTAGGTAATTATTCCTTTGTTGTTTGTTTTGTGTACTGAGAAAATGTTTGTAAGGGCTGGAGTTCTGGCCAACAGCTTTCCTGGCTTGTTCATGGCCTGATGATGTCTTTTTTCTCTTTGACCCCTTTCCTACATTCGGACCACACAAATTCTGACATCCAGACTGCTCAGATGAGCAAATGGACTCTGTTGTGCCTTTGTTCCTAGTCCCTGAGCCAATTTCTGACCAGATGGACAGCATGTGAACCTTGTACTAGTACATGATGTTTTCTGTGGTAGAGAGGTAGGAATCCTTCTTGTCACCTCCCTCCAGTAACTTCCAAACTCCCAAATATAATACTAGCAGAATTAGCCCATCTTATTAATTTCCATCTTTATCTAGAAAAGTATTGTAAATATGTGTTTTGGGGCTTACAAATATAATAAGTATTTTAGGGCTTACATGTATACTTTTATTTTGCTGCTGTGCTTAGTGACATGTTAATTTTGTCCTAAATATAATCAAAATTCATGTCCTTCAGTGCTCTTACACCAGGAACAGCCATGACTTTTTACTAAATTAGTACTGCTATGTCTTTATAAAGGTGAATTTATCATCATACAACAGTGAAAAAAAAGTGTTGTTAGAGGAAAGCATATATATCTTTTTCCAAAAAAAAAAGAAAAAAAACTCATTTACACATTCAAAGCCATGCAGAGAAAATTTATCAGAATTTAATATTGGATAGAATAATTTTTTCTTAATAAGTAACTAATTTATAACACTGCAGTGCACTGTTCAGTTAATCATTTAATTTGGTTCTTACTTGCTTTTTATTGTCAAGTTTGATAAAGTTTCTACTGCCCGTACCTTTTCCTTACTGACCTGCCCTCCATTCTCATTTTAACTCACACTAAAAGCCAAACAAGCTTCACTTTATAGAAGGATTAAAGACAACATGTGAACATAACATGCAGTCATCCTGCAGTGCTGACAGTTTTATACATATGTAAATCCTTTATATTCAAACAACACCAGTCCCCCCATATTTGTATACTCTGAAAAAAAAATCAAGCATAGAAAAGACTGTACCACCAAGAAATAGGCAAATCCCTACAACTTAAAATGTTTACTATGTTTTAAAGCTGAAGCTATGACAAGAACTTACTCTGGGCTGATTACAAAGGTAACGACAAAGTTCCCCTATATACAAAAAGACTGTTACTTTATATTTTCTACAGTCATTCCAAAACTGGCTTGCTGAAAACTTCTTCTTCAAAACACAAGTTGCTCCTAAGTAAAGAAAACAAACAAGGAAGTTAAAAATAACCAATATAATATATTCTATCTTCTACCACTATTGTTAACAAAAAAAAAAAAAAATCAACATATTTTCTTAATTCAGCTAATGTGGAAAGTTTTGTAGCAGGTTAAATGGGCCTAGAACAATGGAGTGCCAGCATCTAAAAAAAAAAAGAAGTATGAAAAAAAGTATGAAAAAGAGTAGAAATTAATTATATTTATTGTATGAATCTGATTTATTCACACCAATTTCGTACTCAAATTTGTAATTACACAAATTTAATCTTGTATAATTTAAATTTTCAATTTAAATATGGTTGCCTCAGTGTCCTCTTGTTTCATGTTCAAGCTGAGATATTGGGGGACATTCTACCCCAGTTCTTCTTTTCTATTGAAATGTGCATAAGAAATATTAAGACTTTGTTTTGTTCTTAATTATGTAATATACAGATTATCAGCTCTGCAGTTAAGCATATTTTCGTTCTGATTTTATGTAAGATCGAAACTAAAAATACCTAGTCTTTTAATAAAAATTGTCCAGAAAACTCTTAAAAAACAACAATACCCCAAAAAATCCTGTGGATTTGGCTTCTTATTTGAAGAATCTGCCTTTTATAACATTATATAAACATATAACATGTTTATGTTATAACATATAACATAATCAAAAAGTTTGTTGTTTTTTCACTATTTGCCGTCTAAGGGAATGGCAGACATAGAAGTGGCAGACATATTTTCTAGAAAAGGTTTATTATTATTATTTAATAGCAATATATATCRTATACTATTTTTAGATAAATAGAAAATACTTACTATGAATGAGTACACTAATTTTTATTCTTTTATTTCAGAGAGCCAATATTCATTAAAATATATTCAAACTAAGCACCACTTGAATAATAGATGAAAGYATAAGATACTGAATTTTGTATTAGAAGTTAATAAATAGGAATGTGTAGCTGAGAGAAAAAAATAAAAGTGCAAAGTACTTTAAGGACAGGTTTYCTTACCACATCCTTTTTCATGTGATTGTCACAATTTTACATCCAAGAATGGTGAAGATTGTAAGCCACTTGACTTTTTGCATATTTTATTTCCACAAATTTAATTCTTCAGTTATTACTTACAAAGCATAATGATAAGAGATTTTCACCAAAAATTAAAATGATACAGCACTGACAGTTATACATGTARTGAGATGTCAATAGAATGGGTGAGATGTATTCAGGACATCCCTGTATTTTCTCTGTATTTTGTTTACTAAGACTTAGTAAAATACATATAACAACTACCATGAAATTTTAGATGAAATCATCCTTTTTCTCTCTCTCTCTCTCTTTACTCTTACCTTACCCACCTTAAGGGAATTGTGAAGAATATCTAATTCAAGGACCTGAATCATCTGAGGTGAAGGCAAGTCAATGGAATTTCAGCAGACGGTAAATATTACCTAATTCAATGCATCCACCAATGCCGAGAAGAGAAGCACTGACATGATACAAAGGAAGAGTGATATACATGATATCCTGAGAAACTGTCCCACAGAGGAAAAAGGCTGAGCAGGCAGTTAGGGCTTTTAGATGAGTAATGATAGCTGCTTTTGGAAAACCTGTCAAAGTGAGAAGAGGAAATAATTATAAATGTGCTCTTTTATAGATTAACTGTTTGGAAAGTACAAGCAAAATTTTCCCCTCTTGTGAATCTGTATCTGTCCTATGCTTCAGTCTTTTGATAAAGTCTTTGGTTTTTAGGTAATTTCCCTTGTCTATCAGCTTCTTTGATTTGTTTGTCTTGAAAGTGATTTGATCTTGTGCCCTTTTCTCTCTGGGGATCAAAGTCCCTACAAATCTGCAGGCAGACGAAGATTACTTGAGTATGCAGTTTTCCCTCACCACAAAGCAAGAACTGAAAAGTTTATGAAGAGTGTTGCTGCTCAGCTGCTGTTTGCAATAGGAACAGCTTTCATGTTCAGATTGCCTGGAGGAGGAATTCCCCTTTCCTTCCCAGTGAGGTAGTGAGAAGCTTTATTATTGAAGGCCAAACACTAAGGACACATTTTGCCTTTAAGGCCTGAGTACTTGTGCTGGTCATACTTCTTTCTAGCGTAGAGTCTGACTTTATTGGTGTTATACTTAAGAAATGGCATTCAGACATGGAATATGTCTGAATAAAAAATCTCTAAATAGATTTATTCCTTTGTTATGTCAAGGAAAAAATGTCTTTTAAGTAAATGAATTCTTGTATAATTTACTATCTTGAGATAAAAATTCAACTTCCGCCTTTCTGTCTTGGTCCCACATAAATTAAATTTATGCTAAATTTATGCCACATAAATTAAATTTAAGGAAGCTCCAGTAGAAAGTTCTTACTACACATCCTCACCTGTACTTCCTGATGTGAAGATATACATAGCTGTATTTCTTTGGTTAGTCACAGATCTAAGGTGAGATGGAACAGGGTCATCAGAAACCTTGTCTAATTTGTCCAATATAGTATCAACATGCTGGAAAGGAGAACTGCTGCTCATCAGCCAGATGGCAACGTTATTGTCCTTGAGATGAAAAATAAAGTCCTTCTTYATTGATCCTAAACAGTCTGCCAAGTTAAAGAAACATGTACTTATTATTAAAATAATAATTTCAATTACAACCCTGATTTCCTACACTGGATATATGTGTTCTCCCATTCCCTACAATGAATCTATCACTGCACACATAAAAATAACTCCTCCTGTTAGATTAACTGTAATAGGTAAAATTCATTGTTGTTATTACTTGGTGATGCTTAAATGTCAAATTTAACTTAAGTCAGTTTATACATTTATATATTACAAAGCATGTTACACATACCAACTAATGATCCCTTATGAGTTTTTATGTATAAATTATGGAAGTTGTGCCACTCAGGAGTGCCACTCTTTCCCAGTGATGGGAACAGAAGAATAGGAAGGTGAAATAAATCATTCAATATTATTTAACATATAAGCAACAGAGCCAGAAAGATAGCTCAACATGGGCCCCTCATTGGCCCAAGTAATTTATTTTAAGTGATATCAAAGTAATTGTAAATTTTTATGTGCAAGCTGCTAGTTAAAAAAGAGTCACTTGTAAGAGTCATACTGGAGTCAATATCTACAGTTTCTTGCCAGATTTTTYCCTTTCTGAGGCAGTTACTTCTGCTAGTACTTTGCTCAGTGCTTTGAGAGTTTCACTTTGAAGTCTTTTATTATGCTGATTAGTTCAGTATATTTCTGGTATTTACACCATTAAACCCCCTCTTTTGTACCCAGAATATGTGTATGTTTCTATGAAGTGTTTTAAACTGATCTCCGTTTTGCTATTTAAAAGAAAAAATATCATAAAGCAGTAAGAAGTCAGTAGTAAATCAAACACRACATGGGACTTACCTTCAGCTATCACTAACATTTTTGCTGCACTTTTATTAATACAGTGCAGGAGGGACCTGGATTGGATGTTGAAGTTGAGGAAAGCTACCACACAGCCGAGCTTGGCCAGTCCGAACCACACGTGGATGAAGTCGGGCTCATTGCCCATGAGCAGGGCCACCGTGTCCCCCTTTTTGAGATCCCCATGGTGCAGAAAGACCTGAGCTATCCTATTACTTCTCTTATCTACATCTTGGTAGGTGTGTACTTTCCCTTCATAGATGATGAATGGTTTGTGGGGAGTCTTTTCTGCTCTCTGCAGGAAAAGATCTATTAATGATAGAACTCCATTGCTTGTTCTTTTCTTTAGTATCAATTTAAACCGCTTCCGTCTCAAGAAAAAGACCAGATCATCCCAGAAATATGGGCAAAATATCTTCAGAGATACATATAGCACCAGTGCTCCTCCAGCAAATGTTGAAAGCCAAGTGTATAGCATGCTAGAAGGGGGAAATAACAGATTGGGTGTAAAATGCAATGCATTTATATAACTATTAACAAATTTTAAGAAGATAAGACAAAAATGTTATTGCAGTTCCATCAATTATCTTAAAAACTCCTTAAAAAGCATATTGGATTTTACCAAAAGTATTTAAAAGTACAAAGGTCTACACTAYTTAAAAATAATAATAAAAAAGGATTAAATAAGTTTGCACATTGGTAAGGACAGAAGAATTCAACTTAGAATAAAAAAAATTCTTTAACAATGTGGCAAGTGTGAAAATAGAATGAGCAATACATTGACAATTAAATACAAGATGGATATTGAGAATTTTAAATGTTTGAAAGTCCAAACAATGGAATACATGCATAAGCATATAATTCATATAAGCATATGAAAAAATATACGTAATTTTCTAACCTGAAGTCAGGATTCTGTCTAGACTGTTTATTGTATCAGGGCTAGTTCTGAAAAAGCAGGAAGCAAACAGTTAAATCACATAATATCATATGCATATTATATGATAAAAGTATAGTATACAGTATAGTAAGTTCCTTGTTTCTATAAGATACATGAAATGCCTTCTCTTTTAGTCCATGTCTCCTAAATAGATATTATCAATATATCTTCTCTTTTACTGCTTTTGTTTTTGACGCAGACAGAATTTGAGGCCATCACTTAACCCTTCACTAAGGGCTGATTTGAGTAGACTGCTTAGCATCCACAAACTTCCAATAATAAACTATGACCCATTTGCATTTTCTAAATTAGCCAATTTTTCTCTATAGAGTTTTCTGAAAATTATAATAAGTGGTAATTTATAGTGGTTTTTTTTTTTATTATTTGCTTTAACATACTGAAGCCTAAAACAAAAACATTACCCTATTGCTGCAGATTTGAAAGAATGCTAAGATTTTGTAGGATTATATCTAAAGTGAAGCAGTTACTAAATTAATTAAAATATTTCAATCATCAATTGCCATATTTCAATAGTACTTCAAATAGCACTGAGAAGAATATTCCTAAGGATTGTACAGGATACTTAGAATCTGGAAGGTAGACCATTCAYGAACCCCCTTTTTGTTCTTTCAGACATGATTACTGTAAATATTTAAAAAATTTTTATATGTCAATATATGTCACTTCAGCTTTAAGACTTTCTATGTAACATAATTTTCTCTCTGTAGTTGAGAAATATCTTCCCAATAAGCTTTACTTAAGAGTTAGTTTCTCAAGCTAGTTTACGTATTTAGCAGTATTTAAATAATACACGATTGTAGATTTTTATCAGCAAGTAGGATCTTATATATACTGTAAAGTTGCTGATATAATGTATGAGTAAAAGAAAGCCTTAAAAATGAAAACACTGTGGCGTTAATTGCATATAAAGGTGTAAAACAAGTTAAAGTATGTCATGAATGATGTTTTGAAGTTCTAACATATAGTAAAAGCATGAAAACAACCACTTTTGCCCTGAACTCTCTAATTTGTAAGTGAAAAATTTAGATAGCCTTAAGTTTCCCAGTTATTATTTTCTTTTCCAGAATTAGTCAGGTTATATTGGCTAAAATATTTCCATAATATATAAACAGATGAAATAAGATCAGAATTAACCTTATAGTAGATGTGTCCTTAAAACAGCATGTCATTCACTTGTATGGCTTCCATATTAACTTTTGCCTTTTTCTGAATGTATGTTTRCTTTTCTGTGAGCTGAGAGAAGAGTATTCATGGCAATTGAATTCTCCTTGTAAACAGTCATTGATTTCCTTTTGCCTCTTCGTACAAGTGTGCAAGATTCACTGTAGCTCTAAACAGCAAATCCAGTACCAGGCTGAACTCTGCCTCTAAATTGAAGAGTTTATAAACTGATTCAATGAGCACATGGACATTGTTTTGGAAAAATAATAATAAATAAAAGGAATGATGGAGCAGAGTTAGAATCAGGTTTAATTGTCTTTAAGGCAAGATCAGAGGTGAACTCGGTAAATAACAGATGTGCTGTAACACAGCATTCTTATGTGACTTTTATGTCCAAATATAGCTATGGTGTATGAGAATCAGTAGTATAATAAAAGAGATAAAGACTAGACCAAACTACATGAAACAACTTTTGGTCTCCAAAGTTCTTTCAGAACTAATTTAGGCTCACCCTTTTCTCAGATGGATGTGCTTGGAAAGACCAAGAAATCAGTCCTTATGAACTTGTTCAAGCAACATGTTGCTTATGGGACAGAAGTGAAATCTCTGTTAACAGAGATCAAAAAGTTAACTTAAAAAATTTAAATAGAAGAAATGAAAGGGGAATCTGGACACAACTGCATATCTTGCTTTTGGATATTTTTCTGCTGATTTCCCCTAAACTTTCATAAAATACACGTGTACAGCTATCTAACTAATCCAGAGTCCAAAATTGCAGCTTAAGACAGTTAAATGTATTAGTAAATTAGACAAACTCATACTATAGTACATTTAGGAAAAAAAAAAGTTTTAATTATTGATTCAGCACTCTGATAATACAGTAGTCTCTAATTGCAAAAGGATTAGTGAGCTCATAGTTTTATCAAATGCATCATCGATTTGCAAACGCTTTGAATTCATCTTAAGTAGTACCTACTGTTGAGTGTTGAGTGTTTGAGTATTTTTTTTTGCAAGGTTCTCTGTCACAATAAAAGAAATATTCTTGTTCTGCCTCATTTCTYCTTTGCATGCTTTTCACTTTGTTTTGAACATTTTTTCTTGCACATGTATCTTCATTTGTTTCTCTGCACAGTCAGAAATAGACTTATTTATTCCTATGAGTCAGTGTGCTCTGGGATATTTTCCCTGATATCTTGGAAAGGGCATYTGAGCAATTAACATGAAATAACCAAGTAATTCCTTCAGCCTCTTATTAATTAATGGACAATCTGATATTTCTAGTCCTTAGTCTTCATTTGCTTAATTGACCGGAACGATCTTATGTCAAATAGCATTACTTTAATAAAAACTGACTGCTAGCTCTTCTTGGACCCACCTCCCTTTCTCTCCTCTTGGCTCTGACCTGGAGTTATTCTCCTAGAAAAAGTGAAAACAGARCAGCAGAGCGGTGGCCTCAGACACAGAGCTAATACACATGCACAGCTTAGTGGTCGCATACAGAGTAGCTCCACAGAAAACAGTAAGACCACTTAAAAGCAGCTAAAATCACCCAGAATATGTTCTGGAGGCAGCCTTCCTTGTAGTAATGAGTACACATAAGCAGCCTTGTGTGTCAACGCTGGTGTAACTTGCATGTCCTAATTATCTCCTCTTCTTATGATTGACTTTACAGTTAATGCTACTATGGTGCTAAAGTTAAGTACTAGATTAKGAATCTTGGACATGAGGGTTTGACAGTTATCCAACCATCTGCCTAAATTTCTGTTGTGGAAAATCAGTGTTTTCAGGGTAGAAATAGCATGTTAGTCACTTTAGAATTATGATACAAATTATCTAATATAGAAATATTGATATCACACTATTCTGTGAGCACTTTGCTAACAAAATCATAATTGAATTAAAGACATCGGACCTCAAATCTCACACGATTATTTTGGCCACTTGTTTTACAGGCACCTAGAAAGAAAGAAGTTATGGAAACCTGGAGTACTGTTTACTTATTCACTCTGCTTTATTTCTTCTTTTCAACTTCATTGCTTCTTCTCAACTTTTCTTCTGCAATCATAAGGACTAGAAACAYGCTTTTTACAAAAATTGAAATTCCTAATGATTTCTTGATATTTAGAGTTTGAGCTTGAAGAAAATCACAGAAGACTAAGAAAGTAGTTAATAGTATTGAACTGTAAAGTCAGCTTTTATCCACTRTTTAGGCAGCCACATGAAAAGAGAAGAACAGCAGATGTAAAGATTTTCTGATTCAGTGAAAAAAAAGTTCACTAAGAATACATACTAATATTCCATCAATCCAGATCGCTGTAGCAATCTACAGCAAAATATGTTGCCTGTGATTAAAAACAAGATAATCATTAGGCAGCATCAGCAGTTCTGTTTTGAAACTCTGTTTGATTAATAACAAAAATAATATATTTATTTAACATATTGATTTCTTTAAGGCAGAAACAAAGTCAACTTTAGAAAATGGGTACATGCAAGAAAATAAAGCAAGGAATCTAATTTGACTCCAAATGCGTATGGTGAATGTTGTTTCAGATAAATATAACAAGAAAGTAACCTACAAAAAAAAAATGGAAGCATTTACTTAAGTTTACTGGTAATGCTTTATTCATCATCTGAATGATATATAATATCACCAAACAAGCATTTTCTTACCACCACTTTGATTGTATATTTTGATTGATATCCTGTATTCAGTTGAATTCATAGGAAGGTTGCATGGGTAGTTTGAATATGTTCGTTATATGCAATAGAAGATGGAATCTTCAGTGGTGACTGTCTGACTGAACATACAAGTAAAGGCTTGTATATGTTACCCACAGGTTTCCTAAACTTCTCTTCTTCAGCTTTGCAGATGAGTGAAAGAGAACTGGAATTTTGTACTTTGTAACTAAGTGTATTTGGAACTCAGTAGGTTTGTTGAGTGTAACAAGAGTTAATTTTTAAAAGAGAAAGAAATTTTTAAAAGAGAAAGGAATCGAATTAATTATGATCTACTAGGCCTAGATCTACCTAGAGGATTAAGACAACTGTAAGCAGCAAGAACAAAAATCACACACTGCCAATGTGATAGAAAAAGCTCACTCATGTTTCTGGAAACTGCATTATATGACATAGAGTTTGTAGCAAATGTTTCTACAGAATTCTCCCATACTGTCAAATACCCTCTCTGATGGGTGCAGAAGTATTACTAGATTTCATAATATTTTTTGATTAACACATTTTTAGGTTTAGTCTTAGAACCTCAATGGATATTTTTGTCACAGAATACATGTGTCACTTTTTCCGTAATTTATTACAGAGCCTATAACATTGCCTGAATAGAAGGTATATATACTATT